CGTCGGCCGGACGGGCATAAAGGTCCAGGAGAAGAAATCTCGAGCAATCGTCAACGCACCGGCCTCCACCAACAAGAAGGAGCTACAAAGCTTCTTGGGGATGTGCGGCTATCTGAGACCCTTCACCCCCCGAGTTCTCACACATCACGGCGTCGATATTCGACCTGCTAAAGAAGAACAGGACCTACGAGTGGCGGGACGTGCGCGAGAACGGCTACCCGCCGTCCAGGGCACCGTCACGCTGCATGTTTTTAGTTAGAATGGCGAATACATCATAAAGACCGACGCGTCCGAGTTAGGGGTCGGGGCTGTACTCAAACAGGTGAAAGGTGACGCTGAAGTACCCGTCGAGTTCGCTAGCAAGAAGTTCAACCCCACGCAGTCGCGCTGGCACACGAGAGAACGGGAATTGTTCGCGGGCAAGTAAGCCATCGAGAAGAGGCGAGACTACGTCGCACTTCACGGCCAGGAGACCACAACAACCTACGGTACCTCACCGGCGTGGACAAGGGCAAGGTCTTCAGATAAACCCTCACACTAAGCAAACTTTGCCGTCGAATTCATCTCCGGCGAATCCAACAACATAGCTGACTGACTTAGCACACACGCCGCTGAAGGTCGCGGCTATATAAGCACCCAGACTGCTCAACCTCCCCGCAACCCCGACAAAGGAAGACTTCGTCAAAGCATATGGCGAGGAGGGCACTACGTCTATTGGTCTAGGCGTCATTCGATTGCGCCTTGTGCCCGGGGGACTCTGTTATCTACTGGCGTGGGTGTAATTGAGGCTGTAGGTTCGTGAGTCGGTACGTCTTAATGAAGTCGTGTAATTAGACGACCCTTTTCAAGTTGCTTCTGGAGCTCGGATTGGACACTGTAGTGACTTCGAATCAAGTTCCATCTGGGTTCCGTCACTCGGGAGGATGCTGGTCGGAGAGGCTGCGTCGTCCAGGAAACTATGAATCCTCTTCGGCGGCCGCAGGTCCGAGAGCGGTCGTGGCAGACACTCCCGTCAGCGCTGGCCCGGCGGCAAATGAGCGTAATTTACGGAGGGGTGCAGAACTACCGGGACCTCGTGATCCTTGTTCAGGCCCAGTTCGCGGCCGGCCCAGTCGCGGCCGGCCCAGTCGCGGCCAACAGACACCTCGCCAGGTTTGGGGCTCACACCGTGTTCTTAGCATACCACTGCCAAAGAGGCGTCACTTCCTCAAGGTCCTCTTCCGCGTATTCGGACGCGGCTACTAGGTGTCTTGCCGACTGGCCCAAACACCTGCTCCATCAAACACGCCCTCGTTTCCGTTACAACCGGCGGCAGCCCTGTCCTCCCTCGAAGATCGAGCTGCCGATATGAACACAACCTCGACGGTTATAAAACCATCATACTTTTCTCCACGCCCCAAAAGAAAGACTCAGGAACAACGTCCCCACTAGCGCTTAATGACCGGGTAGGAGCTGCAGCGACAGACGCTTTACGGCTGCGGGGTCTCCCTGGGCTGCAGCGAACGTCTGTGATTACTGCCTGCGGCGTCTGCCAGAAGTCACCTCTGAACTCTGTTCCGCCGTCCGTGTATGCTTCGAAGCGTATTTTCAACGCTCCTACTGCACTTTCTGCAAACAGGTTGCGCGTTGCCGCGGCTGTCTTCACCAACGTTGCTCTAGCTACGATGTAGCGAGTTGCATGGTCTGTGCGTACAAGGATGTAGTATTCCAGTCCTTGGAATGCTCCATGGATTCAACAGAGCAAGCGTAATCCATGCTTACTCTACTCATGGAGAACGGCTCCTCCCACGTGCCTTCGTGTGTCCGACGTGCATGGCACCGAGGTCCCGACCGTGGTCATCGTCGTCCTGTAGCCTAGACAGGGAGGGCATTGGCGAAGTAGTTGTTGTCTCCTGGGATGTAACTGAACTGTAGGTCATATTGTTGGAGGACCCCTGTGTCAGCCTTCGCCAGGAAAGTGGATTGCGGTGGTCGGGGAGCACCAGGGTTGGTCTTAGTCGGGGAGCACCTGGGCGTACGAGCCGAGACAACAGTTTTTGCTGTTGGGATTTTCATCGAGGGAGCGCTTTCTAGCAACGACCTTAAGACGCCCGTTCGTGAAGTTGACGAACGAGACTCCCACATTGTACGACTGTGTACGTCTTAAGAAAGTCAACTAGTTGTACGATGCAGCCGTCTCGAAATCGTCATGCGGTGCTCGGAACCCCAGTTCAGACGCACACAGTCTTCAAAAGCCGGCAGCAGTCCGAGGGCCTTACCTGGCTCGTAGTTCTGACTGCCAAGAACTTCGGGCTAAACACACCCTTTGACCTTGCAAGACCGCACACTCGTTCCCACACTCCAAAAGACTTACGGACAAAGCAACCGCTAAAGAAGACGATACTTCAGCAGACGAAGCTCTGCAACCCGTCATCTTCTATTTGAAAGATCGCGGGTTCGTCACACTGCCTGACCTTTGGTCCTTTCTGCATAATAACCCGCATGGCTCCCCAGCCACGAACTCGCACGGCTTCTCAGCCACGAAACCGCATGGCTCCCCAGCCACGAACCCGCACGGCTTCCCAGTC